ACCGTCTCTCCGTTCTGGCAAATTACGCCTTTCGTGTGGCGACGCGCAGTAAATGGGAACGCGATTATCGATAAATTCGAACGCCGTCCTCATCGTTGGCGACTCAAAATTTGCGATTAAACATAAACTCGAAAGTTGTGAAACGTGCGGAAATCCAGCCTGCTGATTTTTTAACGCGAGCCAATTCGGGCGAGGACAATCGAGTTGACTTTCGAGACTTTATCGATTGCCCCGCGTTTTCATTAACGGCTGTTTAACCCAACGCGGCGCGGCAATTAACAAAGATTATTGTTCGGCTTAAAGAAATAGTTCGACCGAAAACTTACTAATTGCATAACTACGAGGCAATCGATATTTTAAATCGATATTAAATGCTATATTATTCGAAATCTTGAAATAATGATAACTAAAATGGCTAGACAAAGTAATACTAATACAATGCAGATTGTACCAAATTAACTCAATTATTAAAAAAGAAATTTAACGCTTAAAAAATAAATATTACATAAAAAAAATACATTATCTTTGTCTAATTTATCTACTGCTAAAACAGACAGATATCTCTTTATCAAAAGAAAAAATATTTTCATAACCGAAATTTCTGTTACATCTTGTCTATATATAAAACATCGCATATTTTTTATTTTTCAAAAAATTGAAATTCTTTCCACACGTTAATTCGCCTTTCTTCATGCAAAATTCTTACCGGCTTCGTAAAACTTCCGCAAAAAGTTTCAATGTTTTTTTTCCATTACAACGATTGCTCAAAGAGTTTAATTACAATTGCCCGTTATATATTTGATCGAATTTAATTATTGTGTAAAATTGACGCATTCTTTGAAACAGTCAAGTAGCATAGCTATACACAAATCACGAAATAAAAAGACAACAACATATCTTTCGTATTAAGAAACTAATACATATCGAATTCTAATCTACAAAGAGCATATATTTTTTTCGAATTGAAGTACAAAAAAATAAAAGTAAAAACCTCGGCTTTAAAAAAGCAGAGAAAATAAATGCTGCATATGTTTTAGAATCCACTTTGCAATATTACGAGGTTGCTATCACAAGCAAGAAACCACTTACTTTAATACATCTAATAACGAAAACAATGCGGAACAACAAACAGTTATACAAATATTATGATATTATTACGCAGATGACCATTGCAGTGTCCATATAGTTTCGTAGGACCAAAATGAACTCTATTATTATCTTTTGTTAATTCGTTGCCTGAGAGATAATATTCTCTTTATATTCTTGATTGTAAATGTTATTTACGATATTTATTTCATGAACTTTACATTAAAGGCTGGAGATAATAAAATACAATATATACATAAAATCGAATATTGGATACTCTTGTTGAACTACGTATATTAAAATAAAAATGAAATATTGGATAGATCATTTGAAGCAAATTGATTTAAATTATAATTATAAGATAATTATATATAATGCAATAATTGTAATTTCTTCCTCATTAATTTATATAGTAAATAAATAAAAATAAGATAAATTGATTCACATCTTCTTCAATATGGAAAATATGTCGAAAATACGGATGTAAAAGGTAGTTGACTATTAAAACGTTGACTGTAACACGCCGAGCGATGAATTGACCATAAATGGAGATAGATGCAAATTTTGACCTTACTTTAGTGCGTACAAGCCTGCCATATTTCGCAACACATTCGCGATACGTTTTTCTGACACGTGTGGAAAACGTGCATACAAATTCGCGAAGATCAACAAGCAAACAAAATATGTGGTCGAGGGGGACGGAAAATCGGGAAACGGGGTTGCGGAGAGTAGGCGGGAACGGAAATAAAGTATCGCGCATGTCATATTTGCGCGGCGATTTGGTAGCCGACCAACGTTATCATAAAAATCAGAACGACGATGCGCGAAGGTTCGCGGAGAAATGAGCGACTTCTCGGACGAATAAAAGAGCACATCCTCGGCAATGGAGCTGCCGCCGCCTTGGCCGACACGGCTGGCGTATCGATCCAACGGTACGCGATAAAAATCGGCGGCGATACAAGGAATACCGGTGGCGACCCGTAGAATGCAGCTGTCAATATATTTGAATGATACGGTTACGCAGCCGCTGGTCGATAGTGTGCGGATTCAATGCGGTTCGCGGTGCAAGATCACGTTTCGGATTGCTCCTTTGGTCGTACGATCCAGCTAATTAATTTTGTAAACTGCATAAATCGATTTTCGCAGCTAACGCTAGATTCTTGAATGCAATATTAATTTTACAATATTTTGAATATTATATGTTGCTTGATGTGAGAGCAAAACATCTAAAGATTCGCAAATCTGAAAGTATGAAGTTAAATTCTTAAATTTTTTAAAATTACATAATGTTAACGAAAGAAAGCGAAGAAAAAATGAATTAAACAACATATTTAGACATTGTTAAAATTTTTGTTATTGTAATAATAACTTTCCAATCTCTTTTCAGTAATAACCTATATCTAAGCTTTTAGTGTTAAGATTTTATTTTTACGCTGAGTAAAATTTGTGTAAATATAATTAACACAAATTTGGAGATATGGCAGTGCCTCAGCGCTACGATAAGCGCATTCGAAATACTGTACTATACTGTTATGTGAAATAACACAAATTCTGTATATTAATAAGGCTATATTAATATTGTTGGAAAACATTTCAACTAATCATATTAGATATATTAATATTGCTCCGAAAACGGCACTGAAATACGATTCTGTCCTATGCGAGCAATGTGAAAAATATATCATTGCGCATCCAAAATCGAATCGGAAATGGCGCACATTTATTATTCAGCCGTTTGTTCGGTGACTTAGAGTTCTTGTCTCGCGCTTTTACGTTGAAACGGAGCACGGTGAGATATCACTTTTGTCCTGCGAGCGCGGTTGTAACGTTGCGAATAAACCGATCTCGGCAGCCATGTGAGAATAAAGCGAAACGTCTGGGCAGTACGACATCTTAGGGGATTACCGATTGATATGCACGTTTTAATAATAATAAATTCAACTTGGAAATATGATAATGATATGTATTTTATTCTCTAAATTTCTTGGAGTAAAAATCTCACTCCAAAAGAGTTAAATTACTGTCACTATTGAAAAAAAGCAAATTTTTCACTCTTTTTCAATAGTGACAGTATTTTCACTCTTTTGGAATAAAATTTCACTTGAGAGAGTATAATGGTGAAAAGAAAGCGTATATTCGCGATTGTCGATAGGAACATTGAGACAATTACATCGCGCAGTAATAAATCCGATATAATTATTGAAAATGCAAAGGGAATAATGTATTCATACATCAATGATGAACAATTAGTTTTCTTCTAATAATATGCAGACGATGACGATAATAATAATCTTATTGGTTTTCAAACTTATTTAAAACTAATCAAGTTGCATGATTATCCTTTGGATGTATGTAATAACTCTGTTAAAAAAGTCATGATAATAATGAGACAGATAGATAAAAAAAGGGAAAATCAATAAGCACAATTGCGCATCGAAACAATTAAACGTGATCATTGCTGAATAAAAATTATAGTTTTTCGTCGTTTAAGATTATAATATTTGACTTATTACGTTCGATACATCTCGACGTGATATTTATACAAAAGTATAATTATCGCGAAAAAATTATCTATATTTACAATATAAAATTAATCAAATAAAACAAACAAAATGCGATCAATATGTAATCCACTTATTATTAGATATATTTTATTAAACATTCATATATTGTGTATTGATACGATTTCTTTGATCAATTATAAATTTAATAATATTGTAAGGCAATTTGAATATTTAGAAGATAAAGAAAATAATCACGCATAAAATTGATCAAATTGACTGAAATACTTTTCTTTTATTAAGATTTCCAACAAATTTTTGAAATTGTTTTCATCAAACCAATAAGATTTTTCTAGGCAAAATATAAAAATAAAGCTAAGTGTATTTAGGACAAAGCACAGTAAATAAAGTATAAACAATCAATAATGAAAAAGATTATAATTATATTGTGCCAATTTTTACGTTTAATAAAATCGTTGCGCATTTGATAAATTAACTGAAGTATATGCTTGACACAGTTCTCAGTAAATTGTTAGTTGCCGTTAGTTAATCGGACTTGTTTGTCGTGATATAGTTTTTGCTTTCGAACAGTTTTAATTATCGCAAAAAATTGAAATATTAGCTATTTTGATATTTCCATTGAACAGAATCATCACGCATTGATAAATTACTGGTGTGTTCTGCTTTATTAACCTGTTCATTGTCATCAATTAAACCATACATTTTATATGCTCGATATATTGACTCAATTTAATACTGGAATAACTTTAAATATATAATACAAAAGTAAAATAAAATATAGCGTAATTATTTCCACGAGCCTGTTTTAATTTGAAGCTTCATTAAATTGAACATTAAGTTTCAATATTCTATTGTAACTAATTGAGAAAATTTTGCGGATTATAGTACAAGCAAGTGCTATGTTTGTCGCTCGGAAGATAAAATTATCACGTCAAATAAATCAAAATCTATCTAGTAGCCTAAAAATCACGTATCTCTTGTCGCGCGACATGTATCTTGATGTTAATCTTTACCTCTGAGCAAGTAGGCGGCGAGCATCATGTCCTTGAGCTGCGGAAGATAGAGGCCATTGAGCAAACCGTGATTCAAGTAGTTCATGTTAGGAAGTGGACTGTAGTTCAGCCCCGGCCTGAGGTGATTCAGATTCGTCAAGTGACAGGGATGGCTCAGTCCATGATTCAGACCTTGATCCTCACCGAGCAGCTCGCAGATCCTGCACCGAATCTTGGTCATACTATCGATTCCCTCGTCGTCGTCGTCCAACGCGCACTTGTCAAACTTGTCCCGAATCGGTGCCACTTTGATCGACCTTTCACGCCCGACAGATCGTAAGATTCGAGCAGAAGTTCTTTTCTCCAGATATTACAAAAATATATTTGTAACTGACTATATCACTGTATGTGATATGCGCGCACTCTGCCACAGCACTTCACTCTCGACTCTTCTCCCTCGATTCTCTGATAAATCGAAACGAAGACATCATACGTTATACATATAATACAGAAAGTTATGAGACTTCATACGATGGGGAGACTTCTGAACTTTCTCTCGATGTTAAAATCACGATATAATTTTCAGATTTAATTGCTAGACTCGCGTGTCTGTAGTAACATATCGCATATTACAAGCATGCGTTAATTATATTGAAAGTTAGTATTAATCAATCTATTAAATATATCGCAATATCAAATATATATATAAAGTTATTATTTGTAGCACAAATGTTTAAAAAATTTGATTAAAAGATCAAACAAGTAACAAATAAAAATTACGACATTCTTCTAAAAATATCAATTATGCTGACATTTATGGATATGCGAAACCTTTATTGAGACTCCTGAACTTTCTCTCGATGTTTAATCAGACTAAAATTAAAATAAATATAATTTAGAGATTAAAATTAATATAATTTTCAAATTGCGTTTAATTGCTAGATTCGCGTATCTGTAATATCATAACCATATATTGCAAGCACATATTAATTATATGTGTCAACGTTAATCAATATTAAACACATTGTAGATACAAAGAAAGTTTTCTTTGAATCTCTAGCACATTTTAATATTAAAAGGACTTGATAATTTAAAAAATAAACAAGCAGCAAATAAAAATTGCGATATTCCTCCAAAGATATCAATCTTATTGACACCAATAAATTAATTCTTTCACATTTGCATATATAACCCTTAGTGCATATGATGCAATTTTCGATTCTTTACTACACATGATGGATCGTGTTTGGGATAATTTTCCTCACTTTTTTACAAATATACAAAAATTATTAAGTAATTCTTACATATACTTCATCTTTATAAAGTATTTGTAAGATTAAGTGTTGAAAAAAAAAGGAAAAAAGAGCGACTATTATTTAGTTAGATGTATTTCACAGTAAAAGAATTCGTAGGACAAATGATCCATCGTGAACTAAGGAATAATATCGTATCAGCGCTTATTTTCACTAGTAAGAAATCGTGCTTCATATTTACGCAAATCTGATAATTCTGATAATTGATATCAATTAATGAATTTATTAATTGAAATGATTCGAAAAACGTGACAAACAATGAAACGACTTACTCCGACAACGACGGCCAACGCAACGACGACAATTTGCTTCGCAGCGATCTCGGCAAAAATTCACGCAGCGAGGCGTTCTGTCGCGTCGACAGAAACTGTGGCGCGCGAACAGCCGCGTTATCACGTTACGACTTATCAGCGGAATATCTGTCTACTGACCGAGCGCTACACGACGTCTCTAAGCCTGAGCCTCGCATTTCATACCAAGCCAATCAAGGCGCGGAATCGACGACCTTCGACTATCGGCCGTTTCTTCGAACACAACGGCCGTGATGCGGGAATTAATGCGCTTCAATTGTTAGCTCTCGATTTATATTGCCCTCGTACCTGTTGATCGTTAGTGTATCGACATAACGCATCGGATTGTCAATCGAGCCATTTCAACAAACCTATTTCAGATTTTTTGTGAGAGATGCGTCTGTGTTCTAACTGGAAATGGAATAATAAACTTTTTTGTTTACATTCCATTTTCTATACTTCCTGTAGATTTGTTTCTACCGAGAATAAATCTTGTAAGCACCAGAGAATCGTGGCATAAATTTTGAAACATAGACAGCTCCAGAAATTTTCTTTTAAACATTTTTGTTCGAATTCAAATCAATTTTAATTTCGAATTATAACGCGATTTAGAGTTGTAAAGATATTTATTAAAATTTAATGTTGAGAAATGTTAAGATGATATACAATTATATCTTTTTTAAAAAGAAATTAATATCAGATTAAAAAAAAGATTTTATATATTCGACGTAAAAAGTAATTCTATATAAACGCTTTACATCCAAATTAAAAAATAATCTTTCAGATTGTGCGTGAATTAGAAAAAAAATGTGATGATTGTTGGCAAGTATTTTCTATTAAAAATAGTTTATTTGTTGGTGTAAATCTTAAGAATTGTTTACAATAAATTGAATTTAAAAATTATTATCGAAACTAAAAGAGAGCACTTGGTTTATTTTATATAAATCTTTCTAAAGTAGATACCAAAAGTATCTTCAAGTCAGAGTAGGTAGTTGAAACCGACGGGCTTTCCGGTTTCTTTCATGTAAAAGCTGAGCAAAAGGCGTTCCGACCTTTTAACTCCAAGAAAAAGTTACCGCATCTCGCTTTGCGGTTGAAATTGATCTTGGCGACGTTTCACGACAAAGAAAACGTCTTTAGTGCTCGAAGAATAAATGCCGAAACATACGCTAAAGCGTAAAAAGCAATGTTAAATGAGAAACAGTGTATGCACGCGGCAGTGTATTTGTCAAGAGTTTCGGAGTTACCAAACTCCATAAAACTTCCAGCTCATTATTTTAACGCAATTTGATTCACCGAGAAGTTTTATAATGCATAGTGGCTTATGAAAGTATTTATGAACGCGATTTTGTTCAATTTATAGGTGCAACCCACTAGTTTTCGCGAAGCAAATTTCTTTCGTGCAATAATGTATAAAAAATCGGATTTATATAAAAATGTTGATTAAACAGAAAGTACACTCATCATATAATTATTATATTGATTTTTTTCCCCATGAAGAAGATATGGTTATCCTTTATTCTTTTCAGAAAAAAAAATGACAATTGATAGAAATGAATTAGGACAAATCGCAGCTGGAAGCCTCGGTACAGTGAAATACAGAGACACGACTCTTTTATTCTTTGTCTACGTTCTTCTGCGGCAAAACATACTTGGGAGGAACAACCTTGGCCAAGTTCCGTAACGGAATATTGGAAATTCCGTTTCACGAAGCTATGCGATGTAATATGTTTTGGCTTCAAATCACTTAGTCCTATTTCTCGTTATGAACAACGTTTTGTTGGCAAATAAAATTTCTAGTTTACGTTTATTATCTCTGATATGTGCATTAAATCCGTTCAAAAATATTTCTTACTTGATGTGGAAATAAAAAACGATTATATCTATTATAATTGTAATATTGGAGAGCATATTACCGTATAGTTCTAGAATAAATTGATTTGTGAAAATAAATTCCTTGTGGATACATATTCCTATTTTTTCGATTATTTGCAATCAAAGTTTATTGCGTATATATAGTCAGTTATAATTATCCGAATACGTATATGAAACATATTCGTTTTCATCGATAAATAACTAAAACGGAATGGAGTATATCGTGGTGAATGGTAACATGAAATCGTGGTCGAATGTATTTTTCCGCAGTTTGTCGATAAAAGTAACAAATCGTATAAATCTTCCATATGTTCGAAAGTAACTGTGATTGGTTACGCGTATCGAGCTTTAACGTTTAAAAATAAATAGTTAATAGTAAAAATGTTTTTGGACAGTTATCCCGGCAAATTTAACGCCAGTCTATATTTCTCCAATCATAGGATAAATTGTCAATAATCATATTGTTATAACACATTTCAGCATTTCTAGTGTTTGAAATTATCAAATCAATTAAAGAGCAAGTTAAAGTCTTTGTAAATAATATCAAATTATTATTTTATATGAAACAACAAGACGCGTACAAACGAAAATTATCGTAATAAAAATAAAGTGACTTGTTAGAATAAACTCAGAAAAGAAGATAAAAAGGTTGCCTGCATATTCCAAACACAGTTCAACAAATTAGTGACACAAACAGCCATTGTGTTTCTCGATATAGGTATCGCAAAGCGACTGTAGAAAACTGATATGTGTTTATTGAAGTCCTACTTTGACAATGTATTTTTCCTATCTATTACTGTTCGTTCTTGTTGGACTTGTATAGTCATGTGTATTTGAATTATCCAAGTCTATGTCTATAGTAGCGTTAGTATTCTTCAATTTAAAGACAAAAAGGAAATATTAAAATGGAAATATTTTAGATATCTATAAATACGCACTTTTATGTATTTTGCAAATTAATATAATTATAATAATAAACATACATATATATATAT